GCAGCAGTCTGGCTGTCAGCAGATTGCTGCTATTCACCTGAGGAAACAATTTGGCAGATCAGGCCGCTCGAAGAGTAACAATTACATCAGAGAGGCCAGCCGAGAAAGTAACTGCTCTGATGCGAGTCCCCCCGACCTTGTCAAAACCAGTCTACACAAAAAAAGACTACACTGGTTGTTGTGAGCCATCTAACGGATTCCAGTCCCTGTGACTAAAAGACAAGTACAAAATTTCTAGGAGCCACAGGACTGATCCAGAGTTTGGGACCCTGGCAGAGGCCTGTTGCCTACCTTTCCAAGAGACTTGGTTCTGTGGCAGCCAGATGGCCACCCTGTCTGCGGTGATTTCCTCAATGGCCCCCTCATAAAAGAGGTTTAAAAATTGACTTTTGGACACAAACTCTTAATTGTTTCCTCCTATTCACTGGAGACTCTCATCAAGGCCCCACCAGACTGATGGATATCTAATTCCTGAGCTATACATTATCAGGCACTATTTCTGGAAACAGCAGCTTCAAACTCTGTCTACTTTGCTGCCTGAGGACGACCCCTCATCACCTCACCACAGTTGTACTGAGGTCATTGATCACCTCACGGAACATCGACCTTATCTAGTGGATAAGCTACTGTCTAGAGTTCCATCCTACTTCTCTGATGAAAACAGTTATGTCTCTCAAGGTAAGCAGGTCATGGGAGCTGCCGTTACACAAAATCTTAGGTTCTATGGGAACAAATCTTAGAGCCAGAGACATCAGCATAGTGGGCTAAACTCGTTGCCCACACTGAGGCCTCAAGTTGTCTTTATCAAAAATGGTGTTTACTGTCTTCTGGAGTCAAAAGATTAAAATTGCTTCCCAAATTTGGACTTGTTGGCTGCCATCTAGATGCCAAGGAGAGTGGCTACTATCTGCTGTATAAGCCATTGGGCAGAAGATGATCTTGTTATACGGGAAAATAATTTGGCAAATGCCACCTTCCAAAAGACAGCCAAAAAGCCCCAAAATCAGTGGGGATTGAGATAAGCTTGACATTACTGCTGATCTCACCTATTTTCTTTGTCAGAGCCCATTTGCACTTAAAAAGACCAGCATCTGGCAGCTCAACTTCCGAGAGATTCCCGGGGGCTAATATCAAGCTAGCCCAGTCTGTGAGCTTGAGATGCCCTCAGTGCCAATTGGTAAATCTAAAAGTACTGCAACAAATAAAAACCACTGGTTATCGTGGGACTATGCCTAAAAACACTGGAAAATAGATTTTACAAAAATAAAAAGCCTGAACTTCAAGGATATAAGTGTTTTCTACTTAGTCTGAGTCAGCTCTGATAGCAGTTTCTCTGATTTGGTCTCCCTTTTTATCTGTGGGGTCCGACAATGGCCTGGCTTTTATAGCCTAGTAACTCAAATTAACCTAAGCTTTGCAGATCAATTAAAAAACTCGATTGGGCTTACCAGCCTCAGAGTTCAGAAAAGGTAAAAAGATAAGTTAGATTTTAAAGACTATAATTACTAATGGCCTTAAAAACTGGCGAAAACTGGGTGAGTCTCTTTTCCTTCTGCCCCTTTGCATGCGTGATACATCCCCTATGTTACAGATATTTCCTCTTTTGAGGTTTTATGTGAGAAGGTTTCTAAAAATTAGCTGATTTAACTAATCAAGATCTTATTAAGTCTCCCCCAGACTTTTCAGCTAGCTGTGACTTCCATCCACTGGTTACTTCGCTGCTGCCCACTGCAGCTAAAGAGCCTAGGCACCTGGACAAGGGACCTCACTGTAAATCTCTTGAGAGCGACCTCACCCTGAATCTCTCAAGCCGCAATGGACTGTCAAAGTAGCTAAAAGCCTGCCTGGATTCAACGTTCCCACTGCAGACAGGTCCCAACTTCAAAAGACCATCAGCCTGCGGATAAGTGAACTGTCATTTCTTCCAAGGACACTTTAAAGCTTAAGATTGTCTAATATAACTGATAATTTTGTGTTCTCCTCCTTTGTAGAGACCCCAAGGAGGCCTCTGTCTGACTTAAAAATTGTTACTTGTATGATAAAACAGAACAAATTTAAATGTTGGTTTTCTTTCTTCTTTTGGTTAACAGCTTTAATGACAGCTGCAAGACCTTTGTCAATCCTCCTACTGGGCCTTATGTTGTAAACAAGTTGATAAACTATGTCAAAGTTCTTAAAAGCTTGTGATTTTAAAGACACATGCAAAGTTATAAACAGATGCTAATGAGTCAATCAATGGAAAATGTTGTACTCTAAGAAAATAGCTTCGTTATATGTGTATTATAACAAATCTGTAAAGTGACTTACTAAATGTTTTTTTATCCTTTTTCCCTAACTGATATGTTAAGTGACCTAATTGATATGTTGAGTAACACTCTCCTCTGTAAAAAATTACAAGAATCTCACCTAATTGATATGTTAACCATTGTTGCCCTCTACAAACTACAAAAGCTGTGCTAAAACAAGCTAACAAGGGTTGTTGATCACTGCTAGGCACCTCTACTCTCTGTTAAAGAAAACTAGAATGGCAATTAATTTACATTTGTTTAAAGTAACCTGCTTGTGTGCAGAGAGATTTGCGTGTGAGTTTGGCCCTTTACTCTGACCTTGACACATAACTGCCGTTTTCTGTTCTGTATGGCACCTTATTGCCTCCCTCTCCCCTCACCTATCTATCTAGGCCATAAAGAATTTGGGTTTCTGGTGACCTCCTCCCGACCCGGTGATGATCTATCATAAAATAAGCCTGCCCCAAAGTTTGAAAACTGTTTAGCTTCAAAAAAAAAAAAAAAAAAAAATTACCGGGTAATACTGTGGCCCAAACCCCAATCGGTGCTTTCCTTTTGTTCTGTGTGTATCAAATGAGTTAGCTATCAGATCTTTGTAAAACTTAAGTTTCAGCTTCTTGTAACTCTTGACCTCTTCACACCCACTAGCGAAAACGAGCTGTCCTGGGATGATTGACTTCCCCACTTCTTCTCCAAATGTTGCTGCAGACGTGCCACTCTGGGATGGTGTCAGTCTGCAGGATGAGAGTAATTTGAGAAAACACCGGGGGCTCCCGAGATTGTCAGAGCTAGGCGAACAGCAATACAGTTTCCAGACTCCGGTCAACAAGTTTGATGGCTCTACAGGTTTCTTTATAAATCACATAACTCAGTTTATTAACTCCCAAGTCTCTCAGATAAAAACAATTACTCTCAAGAGTAATTGTCACTCTCAAGAGATTTACGGTGAGGTCCCTTGTCCAGGTGCCTAGGCTCTTTAGCTGCAGTGGGCAGCAGCGAAGTAACTAGTGGATGGAAGTCACAGCTAGCTGAAAAGTCTGGGGGAGACTTAATAAGATCTTGATTAGTTAAACAAGACAACAATATACTCCCTTGGCTACAATTATACCTCTAAGATTAGAGGTATTATGCATGAAGAGAGGGGAATGTAGAACCAGAAATTTAAAGGTTAAAAACAAGATGCTGTTTCTCAGCTAGAAACAGCACTGGGCCTCGTGACTCAGTCCTAACTCAGCCCTGCAGAAATAAAAACAACCTCTGTGGCTGTGATATGCTGGGGATGTGCTATGCCAGGGAACCCAGAGATAGAGCCTGCCATTATGCTAATCAGCGTTGTAAAATATGTCAGACTCAAGTCTACAGAAACCAGGTGTCTTAAAAGACAAGTTGTGCAGAACAAAGACAGTTAATTAACTCTGACCTGCTGGTCACCCCTTATGAACTGACCAATAGCAGATAGATAAGATGCCCACCGCTCCGCACTAACTGTAATGATTGGCTTCTGTAATAAATGCTTACACTGCAGTTTTTCCCCCTTAAAAACACCAGCCCTGCCCCAACTCAGGGTTCTCCGTTTCCACCTGTTTGGAGGACCCCGTGTACACGGAATAATAAAAACCCCTTTGTTTTTACATGAGAGCGAGGCCCTTGGAGTCTTCCTTGTGACACCGGTCTAACAAAATATACATGAAATTTATCACTCACAATAATTACATAATCATAGGATTGACTCTGGCAGGAATTGTTATGTGATTCCTGGGTTTTTAGACATAGACACCAGGGTTTTTACCAGGCTAAATCAGGCCTCCATTTCACCATGGCTGTCCAGCTACAATGGCTCTGCTGTATTTTTTTCACCTTCCTACTCTACCTAAACACTCCCTACTCTCATACATCCATTTAGCTCATTTGAAAAATACTTGTGTCCATTCTCTACTTGTTTATCCTTAAAGGACGTCCTTTGCTGAAGTGATGAGGTACCCTTTTGATAGGTCGTATTTTCTAGCTCACTTATCAACTGCTTAACAAGGAAGGAAATCATCTAACTGAAGGATAGATTTAAAATTCCCATTTTTCTAGCTGGTAAGACATTTTCCTTGAGTGTTAACATGTGTTGATGCTTTCAAATCCTCTAATATGTTTCCTTCTAGCCTTTAGATTTCTATTTTTTTTGTTCTGATAAGAATTTAATAGTGAGCCCACTACCACTGATATTCTGTGAGTCAGTGATTAATTCCTCATGCAGAACTTGAGTAGATAACAACTGGACATATGAAGATATTGATCAACAAACAGTACTCACAAATTGTTTTGTAGTTTACACTGTGTCATAAGGAGTAAGTGTAAATGCAAATCTGTTACTTAAAGAAACATTTCTTTGTTGTTGTTACTGGAGTTAAACCCAGTCCATTGTATTCTAAACACTGGTTCTAACACTGAGCTGTATTCTGAGCTATAGTCCCAGGAACTGGATATGTCATTTTCCAAGAGAATAAGTGACTTAGAGCATAAGTGAACAGAATTCACAGGATCTGTGCCATATTCTTGCCATATAAGTCTTGTATTTGGATGAACATCTTTCATAAATAGAATTGTTTAATCAACATTTTTTAAAGTGTTGGTACTTACTCACTGAGTTTATTCCATGCAGACCCTAAATTAATAGAACTGGTTTAAGTCAAACAATAAATCAATATCTTTTTGTATTTACAGTGGGATTATGAGACCTGGCTTGAATGCCATTATGGGGCCTACAGGTGGAGGCAAATCTATGTGAGTATAACAAAAACTATAAGCAAACCTTCTGAGTGCAATTTAATTGTGATATTTAAAAGTTACATTTATCTTCTATGCCAGATTGATATGATTGATATGCAGCTGTTGACATTATTAGGAGATAATAGGGAAGAAAAATAAAGCAGTAAAATTGAAGGAGGCAAGTGGAGCAGAAGGTATAGTTGGGGACATGAAAATTGTTCACTGGGGACATGAGAACATTTCTTCAGTTTGACCCCACAAAGTAGATAACATTTCAGAGATCTGTGCTGACTAAGCCAGTGTTGCCTTTGGCTTATATTTTTGAGAATTCTTATGGCACCTAACTAAAAGAAAAGTGAGAATTTAAAAATTATGCTTTAATGCTCATAATAAAGCATAATGTTGTAAACAATGGAGAAATGTTTTGAAAAATATGTCCTTAGGGAATTTTGTTATTATGCAAAGATCAAAAAATGTACTTACACAAAAATAACTGCAGTGTTACTGTGATGTAATCTTTCTTTATCAAATTCTAATTATTAGCACATATTAACTGAAAAATATAATGAGCTTTATTATGACATTTTCATACATACAGATAACTCACTTTGCTTTTACCACCTTTCCTATTATCCTTTCTTACTCCCTAGTCTCTTTTTCCCTTCTCTAATATTCCCTGTAAGGGAATATTTTTCATATGTGTGTGCGTGTGTGTATTTACATACAGATTATCAAAGCTAGTTGAACTATAGAATCTTTTACTAGCTCATAACTTGAGTAGAATTTGAACTTAACTAGTTTATAATTGGAACAAAATTACATTTGAGAGTAGCTGAGAGGTACAGCTTGAATTGGAGGGGAAAAAATCCCATAAAATATATGTATTTTTATAGGTTGTTAGATGTGTTAGCTGGAAGAAAGGATTCGCCTGGATTATCTGGAGATGTTTTGATAAATGGAGAACTACCACCCGCTGATTTCAAGTGTAATTCAGGTTATGTGGTACAAGTAAGTATACATGGGTCTCTCTGTTTCTACATGAGCCAATGTCTTGAGTTATGCATTAGTGTGCTTCCAGTGAATTACATGATGTGCTTGTAGAACTAACTTTCTTTACACCAACTTTTCACAATATTCCACTATTTGAGGTAGTGTTAAAGGAAGAGGCAGAGAGGATCTGGAGTAAGAGCCTCCTAGGGCAGAGGCATCAATTCCAACTGTTGCATCATTTCTAAAACCCACTACTGTTGTCTTTTTCTGCTCTCCTTTCGCCTTTCTCCTTTCCTTAGCTTAGAGAGGTATCCATGGGCAATCCCTGTATGCAGCGGTCTGCTATTAGTAATTGTGCAACCTGTGCTGTCCTTGGGTGTGCAGTGGGGGATGGAAATGTCTGTGTATGTAGTTAACTGCAGTTGGTAGAATTGAAAGATCACGATTAGCTAGAAATTGCCTTTAGTATGTAATTTTTGAGGATTAAAATACACATACTAGACCGATGGTCTTAGAAAAGCCTCAGGATGTCTCATTAAAATACCGTGTTGTCTGAAGGATGATGTTGTGATGGTCACGCTGACTGTGAGACAACATTTAGAGTTCTCAGCAGCTCTTCGGCTTCCAACAACTATGAAGAATGATCAAAAAAATGCAAAGATTAACGATCTCATTGCTGAGCTAGATCTGGATGGAGTGGCAGATTCCAAGGTATTGTGAATAAAACGGAGGGAATCATAGCTAGGGAATAAAATCTCTCCAGGCTCTTTAATAGCTGTGTACTAACTTCTTTCTCCTGTTTCTCTCTTCCTCATTTCAGTTCCCCTCTCTTCCTCCAGGGGACTTGTTCCAATGTGTTTCTGAGGCATATGTCTGAAATTGACTGATGAGAAGCAAGAATTCCTGCTCTATTTCACTTTGCTCTAATGTGGTTTCCAAAATTATATTCAGTCATATTATTATTTACTTGTAGTTTTTACTCAAACTATTTTTCCATAGGCTTTCTTTTGATGTTTGTCTCATACCTCTCTCCTCTTTTACCTTTCTTCTGCTAGTATTTATTTCCAGACTCTTATTTGCCTTTTTTTTTTTTTTTTTTTTTTTTTTTTTTTTTTTTTTTTTAGAATTTTTATATGCCTTGTGGGCAGGGGTACCAAAGAGCAGACAAAGTAATGTTTTCTGTTGTGAGTTGTGAAGATTAAGGAGAAAAAATGAGAGAAATCATTGAAATTTAGACTTGACCAGTCAGTGTGGAAGCTTTGACGTGTGGGTGTTTGGAGGCAAATATATTAGTTAGATTGTAGTGACTTAGCTGTCCTTAGAACAACGAAGAATGGGAATTCTATACGAATTCCTAATATCATTACTTGTTGACAGACTGTTGTATAAAGTATATTTTGTTTGGAAAAAAAACTTTGAGATATCTCTATTTACCACTTGTTTTTCTTTTATAAGTGCTTGTGATCTTTGCTTTGGTTCTGTTTACCTGATTTTCTGAGTGAGATACTTTCTTTTACTTTCTTCTTCACATTTAAGCAGTCGTTGCCCTAAACTACTTGTTTGTATTTCTGTGGAAAACAAAAGCCATTGTTGAGCTATTAGAATTCACATAGTCCAGTTGATCAAAATAATTTTAATTTTTAATGGTATTTTAAACAAAAGAGACGTAAAGAACATAGTCTGATCACTATGATACAATGATTAGATAGTTAATATATTTGCATACTATTTACTTAGATATGTCAGCTGTTAAAATCTTCTCCAATGATTATTACAACTATTTGTTTCTGAAATATTTTATAGAAGTTTTATAACATTTTATGCTTGAATACTTATTACATATCTGTAAAAAATAAGGAAATTACCTAAATAACACTACTACCAGTTATCAAAATGGACACTATATATCTTCATGTCACCAGGTGTGTCAACCCTGTTTTGATTTACATTTAATTATTATCTCTCAGGAGGCTCTTAGTTACAGAATTGTTTCTTCCTGCCTCTTGCAAACCTTGCTACCTCCCTCACCACACACAGTGACCCTGCCTGGTGGCAAAATTCAGCCAGTTTGCCTGTGCAACATCCCATTTTCTGGATTTGTCTGAAAGGGTAAATCAGAATTGTGCCCTGAGACAGATTATAGGCAGAATCAGTCTGGAAAGCCGTATGGAAATTGAAAAGGTGCTCATATGGTAGAAGGTGAGCTTTCCTGGCTCCCAGTTCATTCCCTTGTAATTTTATTTGGAGATTTTTGGCCAGAATACTAGGGAGATGTATTGTTAGAAGGTTAATAATTTTCTATAGATTCTTTCTTCTTTTTCTCCTGTCTGTCTGCTCTGTTTTGAGTGTGATTTCACTGTGTCAGTACTATGCCTTTTCAGGGTTCTAATTTCCTACCTTAAAATGAAATGCTCAGCTTTATAAGGCACATCTACAACTGTGACAAGTATGGGCTTTATATCAGGTCTTATCATTTAACGGCTCTGAACTGAGTCTCAGTCTACTCATCTGGTGAAAGGGAAACCTTCTCTAAGTGTGTGGTTACTTACTGTTCAGAATAATAAGGAAATAAGAGATAGATTGTCTGTTATAGGACTGTTACAGGTTAGTTCACCAAATGACAGGAACCCTGGTCATATCTACAGATTCTGATAATGATTTGTGTTTTAGGTTTTGTCCAAAGGAGAGAGGAAAAGAACCAGTATTGCAGTGGAGCTGATCACTGACCCTCCCATCTTGTTCCTGGAAGAGCCCACGACTGGATTAGATTCAAGCACAGCATATGCTGTTATTTTGTGCCTGAAAAGGTAAATGCTACTGGAACATTGCTCTTTCATTTATTTAATATAAATCACTGATCACATCTGTGTGCTTAGTATTTTTAGTGAAGGGAACTCAGAATTGAACAGCAAAATTTCTTTTTCTTAGAAAGAAACAAAGCTGTGCTGTCAAGAAAGAAGAAACAGGAGTGTAGGGAAAGCTGGCCATGGTGGGATGGGGGCTGTGACATGTCAGCTGGGAGGCAGTGAGAGAGACCAGGCTGCAGGTGGCAAGAGAGAGCCATAGTTGGAGGGAACAACCTGTGGTGCAGGGCCCGAGGAGGCCTGCTATTTGTGGAGCATCAAAGAAACCAACCAGGTATAGAACCTGTGACTAGAGGGAGAGGAGGTTGGCAAGGGTGTTGTCACAGCAGAATACCACAGACCAGGTGGCTGAATGATAGAAATCAATTTTCTTACAGCGCTGGAGGCTGAAAGTCTGAGATTAAGATGTTCCCAGGCTTGTTTATTCTGAGTTGTTTATCATTGGCTTATAGGTGTGTGTGTGTGTGTGTGTGTGTGTGTGTGTGTGTGTGTGTGTGTGTGTCCTAATCTCTTAAGTGGACATCAGTTAGGTTAGGACCCTGTTGATGGCTTTGTTTAATCTGAATTAGCTCTTTGAAGACTCTACCTCCAAATGTACCCACTTTCTGAGGTACTGGTATCAGGACTCCAGCATACGAGTTCTGAGCAGGATACTTCAGCCCATCACAGGTAGAAATGGGATGGCAGTGGGCTGTGTTAGTGATGTTACATGGAGCTATTAGGCCACTGTGAGAATTGTAAATTTTACTCTGCATAGGGGATGTGGGAGATGTTTTCAGAGTAGTTCTAGAGCACAGCACAGGCAGCTGCAGAGAAGCTGCACAATTCACAGTGGGTAGTTCAAGGACACCAGAAAAAAGCCAGTTTAGGTTGTGTCACAGAACTGCTGTCACTGTTTTTTCCTAAACATTTTGTGTTGTGTGACATACTACCTTCTCTCCTTATGCAGAGAGCTCTAATCCATCCTTGTCAAGCATTGTTATGCATGCTTACCTCATGGGGTCTAGTTAACATGCAAATTTAGTTTCAGTAGGTCTGAGGTGGAGTGCAGTATTCTCCATTTCTATTCTCTTAGAAGAGATACTCACCTGAAGTCCCTGATCTGCAGACCATACTTTGAGTATTAGGGCTCTCAGCTTTTCATCTTTTACCAGCTCCTTATTGCCTGGTGGCCAGGAATCTCATTTCTGAGGGAAGGGTGTATCATAGGTCGTCTTTGCTGCAGCCTCTTTATCTTTTTCATCCAACACGACAAACACATGCTCACACTCACACACACACACACTCTTTGTTGTATAACAATGAACTCATGTTTTTCAACTAAACCTTTGAATTTTGCACTTTATTATTCTATTTTAGGATTTTCTCTTAGCATGCTTCTTTAGAGCCATTTGATATTCATATCTTCAGACTGGGTTACAAGACTCCTGTTAGCTTACAAGTAACTCTTAGCTTTTGCCTCTGAAATTCTTGGTTTTCCTGCCTGATCCCCTTAGACACAAACACTGCAAGCATTTAGTATTTATCAAATGCTACAAGTAATTCTGATAAAATATCTTTAATCACAGTTTTAAACGGGAATTTTTGACCTTTGTTTCCTCTACCCACTGATAATAACTCCGGTGGAAAGGTATTTAGCGTTGTTTCTGACATGGATGTTGACCAAGGATCAAATCACAAACTTATATCTTGGTAGCTGTGCCTTCTTGGTTAGTTGGTTGCCTTGTAAGACTTACATGTAAAAAGAAGAAAATAATACAGGAACCACTATACAATAACTTTGTAAAAATTACAGTGCAGTTTTCTCCAAAGAATTTCGCAAAGACTTAGTGCTTCATGATATTAATTGTATTACCATAGCACAAGAACAAAAATCAATCCTAAAGCCAAGAACACTGAAATGATCAGTGCAAACCGAAAAAAAAAAAAAGCAAAACAAAACAAAACAAAAAAACCAGCATTGTTTTAATGTTAGCCCATAATGAGTTATCAAACTTGGATGTAGTTGCAGATTTCTTGGAGTGTTGCACTTACCCCTAGAAATTCTAATTCAGTGCCTGAGAAGACTATCCAAGGACCTGCATTTTCAATAAACCTTCTAGTGCATTCTAGACTCTTAAAGTACCATCTTTTAAGGAGCTCTAGTCTTTTTAAATAAAGGCATTATATTTAGATTCCTCAACTATCAAATAGATAATATAAGGTAAGAGAAGAAGTTTGTAAGAGAAAATCAAGTTGAATTGGAAATAAACAGGGTAGTGGTAGGATAGAATATTTTATCAGAAAATGCAAAGTTCAGATGTTTAATGACCTCTTCTTTTCCCTCTCTTAACTTAGGATGGCCATGCAGGGGCGAACAATCATCTTCTCCATTCATCAGCCACAGTATTCCATTTTCAAGCTGTTTGATAGCCTCACCTTACTGACCTCAGGAAAACTAGTTTTCCATGGCCCTGCACATCTGGCTGTGGATTACTTTACATCGGCAGGTATTGTTTAGTTTTTCTTTTTCTTTTCTTTTCTTTTTTTTTTTTTTTTTGTCTTTTTCTTTTTTACAGGTACCAGGGATCGAACTCACGACTGCACACTTGCAAGGCAAGTGCTTATGCCGCTGAGCTAAATCCCCAGCCCCAACTTCTTCATCCAGCTGGTCCTTTATTCACAGAATCCTGGAAGAGAAGAGATAAGATCTCCGAGAGTGCTGTTTGATCTTTGTGTAGAAGTACTTTGGATTCCACCCCTCTGAAATGCCTTTGGCCACTGTGGTGCCCGGATTATTCTTCATTTTGCAGTGCTTTTTTTGTTCATGATGTTTCTTGCCGTTTCTTATCCTACTTGAGTGTGCATGCATGAATGTGTCTAAGTTGAGCCTGTGTCTATTTTATTGCCTAGGTGTGGTCACCTTCCCCTGAGAGTTTATTAAGTAATGTGTTGGGCTTATAGTCAATTTTTCTGTCAGGTGAACATTTTTGAAAAGTTCCAATATCATTCACTTCTTGATATTAAATTGGATAATGCTTCATAAGTTTTTACCCTGGCTTTTTTTTCTTCCTTCATGAGTTCTCATAGAGATGCTATTTCATTTTTTTCTTTTTTTTAATTAAAAAACAAGCAAAACAGAAAAAAAGACTAGAACTGATATAGAATTTCAAAAAATACCAATAAGAAATCATCGCTAGTTGACATGTTACATATTGTTATTTTAGAAGTATTTGTTCAAGTTACAATATCAAAGCATAAAAAATGAACAGACAGTCAAACAATGACAGCACCAACTATTCTGTTTGATGAACTAACAAAAACTTATTAGTATGGTTATCTACCTTGCACACTTAAACATACATAAGTTATATGTGTACACCTAGTTGTTCTTTCCTTTTGAGCACTTTCTTTCCCTTCCATCATTACAACAATCTGTTATACATTTTGGATCTTTTTACTGATTCACTTTATCATTGTTTATTTATTTTTATACCAGAGAGACAATGCAATATTTATAAATGTGAATCTGATTTATTTCACTTAAGAGGAGAGTCTCAAGTTGCCTCCATTTACCTTAAAAAGCCTCAAGATCATCCTTTTTGTAGCCAAGCAATATTCCATGTATAAAAAATACATCTTTTTCATTCATTCTGCAGTTGATGGATATTTTGGTTGTTTCCAAGATTTAGCTATTATAAATTGTGCTGCTATAAACATGAGGGGATATATATATCACTGTGACATGATCTTTTCAATTTTTCTGGGAAAGTACCCAGAAGCGGGATGACTGGATTGAGTGGGATTTCCAATCCTAGTTTTTTGAGGAATCTCCATACTGATTTCCACAGTGGCTGCTCCACTCTACACTCCCACCAACAGTGGAGAGAAGTGTTCCTTTTTCTCCATAGCCCCACCAACATTTATTATTGGTTAATGTCTTGATGGCAACCATTCTTTCTGGAGATGAAATCTCAATGCTGTTTTAATTTTCATTTCTTGAATGATCAGTGATGGTGAGCATTTCTTTATATACTTACTTTTCATTTGTATATCTTCATCTGAGAACTATGTGTTCATCTCAGACACTTGTTTTTTAGAGTGGGTCTTTGAATTTGGGGGGTTTGACGTTTTTGAATTTTTGTATGTTCTGGATATAAGTCCTTTGTCTAAGGGACTGCTGGACACAATTCTTTCCCATTCTATGGATTTTCCATTCACTTTGTTGGTGATTTCTTTTGAAGTCTAAAAACTAATAATATGAGATCCCAGATGTTGATTCTTTGAAATATTTCCCATGCAGTTTGCATCTTGTTCATGAATTCTTTGCCTATCCCTATGTCTTCAAGATAACTACATACCTTATCTTTCAGTAGATTTAGTGTTTTTGTTTTAATATTTAGATCTTTAATCCATTTTGACTTTAGTTTAGTGCATGGTAATAGGCATGGGTCTAGTTACAGTCTCCGACATGTGGAAAGCCAGTTTTTCCAACACCATTTATTAAGGAAGCTATCCTTTTTCCAGAGCATGTGTTTAGCTCCTTTGTTAAATATAAGGTGGCTGAGTGTCCTTGTAGTCATTTTTGCATCTTCTAATCTGTTCCACTGATTCTCAGGTCTATTTCTTTGCCAGTACCATGCTGATTTTATCACTGTAGCTTTGTAGTATAATTTCAAGTCAGGAATTGAGATGCTTCCTGCCTAACCTTTGTTGCCAAGAATTGTCTTTGCTATTCTAGGTTTCTTCTGTTTCCAAATGAATTTTTGGAATGTTTTCTCCAGATCTGTAAGGTATGTCAATGCTATTTTGATTGGGATTGTGTTAACTGTCAGTATAACTGTTTTGGGAGGATGGCCATTTTCACAATGTTCATTCTTCCTAACCAAGAGCAAGGGGTATCCTTCCTCTAGTATCCTCTTCAATTTCCTTTTTAGATTAGTATAATTTTCAATATGTAGGTCTTTTACATTCTTGATTAGGTTGATTCCTAAGTGTTTCATTTCTTTCATTATTGTGAAAGGTATTTTTTCCATAATTTCTCTCTCAGTGAATTTGTTGTTTGTGTACAGAAATGCGGTTGATTTTTGAGTACTTACTTTATATACAGCTACACTGCTGCATTTGTAGTCTTTTGATGGAGTTTTTGGAATCTTCTATGTAGAATATCATGACATCTGCAAGTAGATAATTGAACTTTTTCCTTTCCTTTCCTTATTCCTTTTATTTCTCTCTCTTGTCTGATTGCTCTAGCTAATGTTTCCAGAACTGTATTGAATAAGAGTGGTGTTAGTGGACATCCTCTCTTATTCCTGATTTTAGAGGGGAAGCTTTTGGGTTTTGTCTACTTACATAATGTTGGCTAGTGGTTTATCGTAGATGGCCTTTGTCAGATTGAGGTAGATACCATCTATTCCAAGTTTCTGAAGGGTTTTATCATGAACAAGTGTTGAACTTTATCAAAACCTTTTCTGCATCTATTGAGGTGGTCAAGTGATTTTTGTCTTTGGCTTTGTTGATTTATTTATTGATTGATTGATTTGCATATGTTAAACTATCCCTGCATTCCTGGGATGAATCCCACTTGGTCATAATGTATAATCTTCCTGATGATTTGCTGCATTTTATTTGCCAGTATTTTATTGAGAATCTTTGTATCAATGTTTCATTAGTGAGATTGGCCTGTAGTTCTTTTTGCTTGGATCTTTCTCTGGTTTTGGTAACAGAGTAATACTTGCCTCCAAAAATGAGTTAGGGAGGACTGATTCCCTTTCAATTTCCTTGAAGAGTTTGAGGAGTAGTGTCATTGAATTTTCTGTAAATTTTTTGTAGATTTCAGTTGTCAATCCATCAGGACCTAGGCTTTTCTTTGTTGGTAATTCTTTAATCATGTTAATTTCAGTAGCTGATAATGGGTTATTCAAAATTGCTATATATTCTTGATTGAGCTTTGGTAGTTCATATATTTCTAGAAATCTGTCCATTTCCTCTGTGTTTCCCACCTTATGTGAGTAAAGATTTTCAAAGTAAGTATTCATGATTTTTTGAGTTTCCATGGAATCTGTAGTAATTTCTCTCCTTTCATTCCTTATTGTGTGAATTTGACTTTTTTCTTTCTTTTTCTTGATAAGGTTGGCTAGAGATTTATCAATTTTGTTTATTCTCTCAAAAAACAGCTCTTTGACTCATTAATTCTTTATATTGTTTTCTTAGTCTTAATTGCAATAATTTCTGCTCTGATCTTTATAATTTCCTCTCTTCTTTGAGTTTTGGTTCTTACTTGCTCTTCTTTTTCTACATCTTCAGATATAGCATTAGTTTGTTTATTTGTGCTTGTTCTGTTTTCTTATGTGTCAATTCATTGCTATATATTTCCCTTTTAGGAAAGCTTTCAATGCATCCCACAGGTTGTATCTGCATTTTCATTGAATTGTAGGTATTGCTTAATTTCTTCTTTAGTTTCATTTGTAACTAATTGATTTTTTTAGGATGTTGGTCTTTAATTTCAATGTATTTATGCAGGTTTTGCAATTTCTTTTGCCATTAATTTCCATTTTCAGTACACTATAGTCAGAGAATATGCATGGGATAATTTCAGTCCCTTTACACTTACTTAAGAATAATTTATGGGATAATATGTGGTCTATTTTGGAGGATGTGCCATTCACAGCCGAAAAGAATGTGTATTCTGATGTGGTTGGGTGGAACACTCTGTAAACATCTAGTATACAATTTCCATTTTTCTTTGCTCATAGGTTTGATTCAGTTCTGTTTTTTCTTTGTCTACTTTTTGTCTAGTTGATCTATCTCTTTGTGACAATGGGGCATTACCTCCCCCTATTACAATTGTATTGTTGCTTATTTGGTTTTTCATATCTGTTAGTATTTGTCTTACATGGCTGGGTACCCCTGTATTTGGTGCACATATGTTTATGATTGTTAGGTCTTCTTCTTGAATTATTCCCCTGGCAAGTATGTGGTGACCTTCTTTATCTCTTTTGATCGTTTTTGGCTTGAAGTTCACATTGTCTGCGAATAGAATAGCTACTCCTGCTTTTCTCTCGGTTTCTGTCACATGGAACATTTTTTCCATCCTTTGACTTTTAGTCTATGAGTTTTCTTTTGTGCCAGATGTGTTTTTTGTATATAGCATATTGTTGGATCCTGTTTCTTGATCCATTCTGTCAATCTATTTCTTTTAATAGGTGAATTGAGGCCATGTCCTGGTTCAACTTTGTCATGTTATTTTCCTGTGTTGGTTTTCTGCTCTCCTCCTTTGTTTAATTGCTTGCCCTGTCAGGTGGCTGTTGTTCTGCAAATTGAACTCATTTTTGTCTCTATCTAGTATGTCTTTCAGTACTCTTTCTGGAGTTTGTTTGGCGGACATGAATTTCTTCAGTTGTTCTTTGTCAAGGGAGTATCTTATTTCTCCATTAAACTTCAAAGAAAGTTTTGCAGGGTACATCAATCTGGATTGAAAGTTGTTTTCTTTCAGGGCCTAAAATATTTG